GTGCATTTTTAGTTATGTTTGATAATGCATATATGCTGTATATTATGGTCCTTAAGTTCGCTCCTATTTTTAATTTGATGATCTGTATGACTTCAGATTTTATATTTTTGTCTTTGATCTATCTTGGGTTAGTTTTGAATATGGTGAGAGATTGGGACCTTGTTTCATTTCCCTAGAAATTATATTCAGCTTTGCCAAGACCACTTTATAGCAAGACTCTCTCTTCCCCATTTAAGGAGTTTTGGCTTTTTGTTAAAGATCAATTCTCCATAGGCGAATAGATTTACTTCTGGGTTCTGGATTTAGTTCCATTGTTCTATGTGTCTGTCATTGCACAAACATGAGGCTGTTTTGATCACTGTAGTGATACACCATAGATTTTGCTCCTACTTTGTTTTTCTTCTTTAGTAGTGCTTTGCTTATCTGGAGTCTCTTTCCTTTCTTATAACATTGGTGATTGGTTTTTCCATCTCTTTAAAGAATGGTGATGAGATCCAGAAAAGATTGAATTATATCTGTAGATTGCTTTGGAGAGTATTGCCATTTTTACAATGTTAAGTCTTCTCATCCATGAGCATGATATATTCTTTCATTTATATAAGTCTCTTTTGATTTCTTGTAACAGTGTCTTATAATTTTCTTTGTATAAGTCTTTTGAATCTCTAGTTAGATTTACTCCTAAGTACTTTACATTTTAGGAGCTCTGGTAGCATAGTGTCTAAGGCACTTGACCTCTAACCAGAAGGCTGGCAGTTCAAACCCACCAGCCACTCCTCGGAAGGAAGATGGGGCAATCTACTTTCCTAGTGATACTTCCTCGGAAACCCAAGGAGGGGTCGCTATGAGTCGGGGCCAACTTGATGGCAAATAACAACAACAACAACACTTTACATTTTAGTGGCTAGGCTGGTGGTTTAAACACACCAACCATTCCTCAGAAGAAAGGCTGGGCAATCTACTTCAATAGAGATACCTCCTCGGAAACCCAAGGAGGGGTTGCTATGAGTCAGAACAGACTCCACAGCAATGAGTTTGTTTTTTTTTTTTTTTAATGTAAATGGTATTGTTTTCCCTTTCAGCGTTCTCGTTGTTAATGTAGAGGAATTCAACTGATTTTTGTAAGTTGATCTTGTATCCTGCACCATTTCTGAATCCTTCTAGTAGTAATTTTCTTGTTGAGTCTCTATGATTTTCTATATACAGCATCATACCATCTTCAAATTGAGATTGTTTTACTTCTTTGGCAATTAGGATGCCTTTTATTTTCCTTTCTTGCCTATTACCCTGGCTAGGACTTTCAATACAATATCGAATAAGAGTTAGAAATATATTCCTTTAATTCACCAAACCAAACTCACTGCTATCGAATTGATTCTGACTCAGTGACCCTTTTTGATTTCCAAGGTGGTAAATTCTTTCAGAAGTAGATTTCTCAGTTTTCCATCCATGGAGTGGCTTGTGGTTTGAACTGTACAATGAGCTATTTTCTTAATATATATTAGAATATATTTTATTTCATATTGTTATGAGATTTCATGTAAAATGAATCATGAGATGAGCAAAGGACTGTGACTGAAAAGCTTTTGTAATGCCTAGGATGCTTTCCCAGATTACATTAGACTTGAAGAAGCAGACACTCCTTCTCTTGAATAACCATGGGCCTTTTATTTTTGCAAAAGCCTTTTCTCCATGTTCTAACTTCATCTGCCTACCCACCGAGGGCCACAGAAAGTGGAAGGGATCATTACATTTAATGGGCAGGAAATAGAGTTTTGCACTGATCTTTTTAAAAGGAGAAATTGGAAGGGTTGAAGTGGTCTTTGAAAAGAAGGAGGCAGCTCTAGATCCAATTATGTTGGGTCTGTTTACTGAACACCTACCACGTACAAAATATGGTCCTAGGTAATGTGCAGGATACAAACAAGAATATCACATGGGCTTGGAAAAAACTTGTCTTGAAAGAGAACTCTACATGATGAAGCATTCAAATAAGATCTGTCTGAGAAGAGGACACCTCACAAGGTTAGAGTTTACCAGTATTGTGAAAAGAAGCAATTTTAAGACATAGCTGAATATGTTGAATTGGAAAAGACCAGAAGTCATGCTGATACATGGGGAAGAAGGGGAAATTAATATGAAATATTCTATCTGTATCACGTAGAAATCCCAGTATATCAGAGTATCTTCTCTTTATAGGGAGATTTTATCCCTGTTTTGTGTTAGATTCCAGTTTCAATATTTACAATTTCCAATATTCATAATTTGGGGCAGTCTGTTGAAATCAGATAGATGATTAGGATTCCCAGTCAGATATTAATCTAATTCAGATCCTAGACTTCACACTATCAGTGTATTTATTATAAAAGAAAAAAATTAAGTAATCTGGTAAAACACCCCAGAAGATTTTCAGAAGATTGTTCATGTTTATCAATACCTTATTAAAGAAGCTTAATCCATTATTTTGAAATAATTACAATGAACTGAAATAAGTAAAAATGACTAAATGCTTTTATAGATGAATGGCAATTGGAAAAGAATAATTTCATTAAGAAAGCTTTGGGAATTAAGAGAATAGGGAAATATGATCTATTATTGATTGTACTGATGACTCAGAATGAGTGCTTAATTAATGATTTCATAAATCATCAAATAGAAATAATGTGGAACTATATGAATTTCAAATTAATAATTTATCATTTATTTTATGGGACACAATATTAAATTCAATATCCTGTAGAAGAAATGACTAAAAGCACTTTAAAATATTATATCAAGTTTTCCTACTCTCTCTCTTATACATGCACACATTTATTTTCTCATTTTTGCCTAAAGTTATGGTCCCTTTCCTTCATAATATCATTAATTTATGAATAATCAGATTTTATTCTTGAAAGACTTTGCCATCAATTTGACATTTTAATAATCCTTTTAGTAAACAATTTTAAATTGCCTCCGTAATTCTTAGTTTTCAATAACTTTTGCCCTTATCTATATTACTTCCTTAATTCCACTTTATTTGAGATTTTTCTATATATTATTAATTTGTTTAAGTTAGATACTCATGTCAACATTTAGAACATTCTTGTATCCTAATGTAAGTATGTAAGGATATAAATTATCATCAAAGTATTGGTTTAGCTTCTTCTCATGCTTTTAATGAATAATACTTATGCCACGCCTTTAAATGTCAAAGACTATTTTCTGATTGCCTCTCACTATCTTGGTAATTTACATTCCCTTTCCTGAATATTAGCAAGATTAGACTCCTTTTAAATATTGATCATCAATTCATATCACCTGTTCAGAGAATTTTAAATATTTCCATATGGATATTCTGTTGTTTCCACACAGTTTATTCGGAAGACCATCCTTTCCCCACTGCATTGGAGTGGTATATTTATCAAAAATCTGATAATAGTGTATATGTGAGTTTGGATCTGGATATTCTTTTCTGTACCACTGTACTTTTTGACAACCATGGCATTATAATATGTTTTGTTATATGATATTCAAGTTAAGACATGTGTTAGTATTGTCATTTGGTGGCAAACAAACTAATCGAAGATAATAAATTATACCTTCCCAAAAAACAGACAGCTTGTACTTCACACTGACAATGGATAGTCAGAAGCATCGTGGAACATACATACATATACCCATCAGGTAAGTATGAGATTTGATTTGCATTTCAGAAAAAGAAAATGAGCTTTTGTTGAACTGATACTCTATTTTTTTTCTAGGCATTTCTGGATAACATGTATTTATGATGGAATTTACAGCCAGGGGCTTTTTTTTTTTTTTTTTTTTTGAATAAAGCTAATAGATCAACCAAGGTTTTGAATTAGAGACAAAGTTCCATCAACCCCTACACTGAAAATTGAATAATTTGCTCAGTCAAGTGACTTCCCTGTCAATCATGTAAATCACTAATATTTAGTTTTCTTAAGTTAGATTACTTTCCACCTTTATTTTTCCCACCACTGTTGACTGTCTAAGGCACACTCCCAGTTTTTTCTCTCCTCACAGAGTAAGATCCATTTGTATTGCTGTCAACCTCATTGTTGTTTAACAAGACTGCATAAGACTGACCAAAGTTTTGGAGAAAAAAAACTCTTAAAATCACCAGCTCTAAATTTTTCATGGATTTCTATTCCCGTATTTTATCTTACATGCACATAACTTAGTTATCTTTTTATTTAAGTTGCTCTTGTGTTTTTTTTTGTTTTGTCTTGTTTTTTTTAAAGCGTTTTTGTGTGCCTGTTGCTTTTGTTGTTATGTGCCCTTGAGTCAGATCCAACTCATAACAACTCCTCCTTGCATTTCTGGGGCAGTATCACTATGGTAACAGATTACCCAACCTTCTTTCTGAGGTTGTGTGCCTAGTTGAATAGAATTGAACTGCCTCATAGTGCTTTCTAGGCTACAATCTTTACAGGAGCAAATCACCAAGTCTTTCTTCCCATAGAGACACTGGTGAATTAGAACTACTAACTTTTTGATTAGCAGCTAAGCACTTTAAAATTGCACCAATAGGGCCCCTTTAAAAAAGTCTTAAGTGGGTAATATATTTGGACACTGAATGTTGGAAGATTACTAAATCATGTCAGCACACATTGATTCAATTTAGCTCAAGATAGTAGTAGCATGGTTTTCTAAGACAGGCTTATGTTTCATTTACTTGGAATTCATTTATGAATAATTTAAGTCAAATATACAACTCTCTAGATATCTTTTTCTCAATATATTACACTATTGTCTCCCTGAGATTGAGGTAGCCAGTAATTAATGTAGGGAGGAAAGTGACATGACTTGTTGGGGTTCAATTTTGCAAAACATACATTCTAATAATTGGATAAGCCATGTAGAAATTGTTTATTTCTTGGTCCTGTTTGATTCATGAAATTTATGCAACTTGATGCCCTGTTCTTCATCAATTCTATGTGCTACATCTTGTTTGAAAGGCAAATACATCCTTTCAGCATCTTAAATCCTTTCAGCGATCATCTTGTTTTGACCCAAAACTCCTTGGTCAGTGCCCTTTGAAGGGAAGCCTTCACATCCTTGTTCCTCAATGTATAGATAAATGGGTTGAGGGTAGGTGTGACAATTCCATAGAAGAGAGCCATGATCTTCCCTCTGTCATGAGAATAACTGGAGGGAGGCTGCACATACATAGTGCTGCATGGAAAGTAGAAGAGGGAGACCACCAACAAATGTGAAGCACACGTATTGAAGGCCTTCCAGCGACTCTCTGTAGAGTGAATTTTCATTACTGCCCGAACAATGAACATATAAATGCCTATGATGAGGGTGAGGGGCACCAGGAGCAGCAAAGCCCCTAAGACATTGAGCTCAGCCTCATTCACACGAGTATCTGTACAGGCTAGTTTCAAAAGAGCAGGAACTTCACAGAGGAAATGAGGCATCACTCTCCGTCCACATCTTGGAGTCACCACTGTGAGAGTGGACTGGACAAGGGAGTTAGCAAAACCACTAATCCAGGTCCCAGAAGCCATGTGGATACAACGTTCCTGGTTCATGATGAGTGGGTAATGAAGGGGCTTGCAAATAGCAGCATAACGATCAAAGGCCATAATGGCTAGAAGTATACACTCAGTAGAACCCAAGGCCAAGGCAATATAGAGTTGAGCAATGCAACCACCATAGCTAATGGTCTTTTCTTTTCCTCTGAGGTTGACTAGCATTTGTGGGACAGTGCTGGTGGTATAAGAGAGATCCAGAAAGGATAGATTTGAGACAAAAAAGTACATGGGACTGTCAAGCTGAGGATCTAGGTGGGAAACTAAGATAATGGAAATATTTCCAAATAGGGCAAAGATGTAAGCCACTAGAAAGATGACAAAAAGTGGTGTCTCAAGCCAGGGGTGTTCAGAGAAGCCCAGTAAGATGAAATCATTCAGTAAGCTCTGGCTGTTGTTCCACATTTTGGCACAGTTAGATTAGACTCCAGGTGATACCCCTAAATATCCACTGCTGGGAATGGGTATCAATGATAAAAAGAAGCCACTGACAATTAGGGACCAGAGATGCTGAAATGAAATTCTCACTTTTCCACTAATCTATATCTATATCCTGATTACGGTAAAATGATGCCATTTTCATCTATTGCCTGATTAAGAGAAATTGTTGAATCAATATTGTCAACGCAATGTGGAAATATCTTTGAGACAATAATAAACAAAACACTGGCAAAGTAGTTGGGAAATCTTCCTTATTTCATGAGTGTTTCCAAAATGTTTCACATCTTTTGGATTTTGATATCTTCTAAAAGTCACAACACTTCTATCATCAGCTGTACATGTCATGGATATTTAATGGTGACAACTGAATGTAGATTTAAACAGGTTGAGTGAAGGCAGAGCTTCCTAAACAAAGACTGACAAGAGGAACTATGAAGATGAAAGGTGAATCAACAGCTAAGGGTAGAACCAAGGCATCTTGGCTTCTTAATCTTGTTCACATTGACCCCAGTCAGAAGCATCATGGAACTGCAGCACTTAAGAGAATCTGTACCGTGAAAGGATAGAATATCAGGACTCCTTTTATTCCTTCCAAGCTTTAATTCAATAGTGATTTTCATGAGAGTTTTAAAAAGGAAAAAAACAAGCAAAAAAAAAAAAATATATATATATATATATATATGGGAGCTCTGGTAGCATAGTGCCTAAGGCACTTGACTGCTAACCAGAAGGCTGGCGGTTCAAACCCACCAGCCACTCCTCGGAAGGAAGGTTGGGCAATCCTACTTCCGTAGTGATACTGCCTTGGAAACCCAAGGAGGGGTCGCTATGAGTCGGGTCTGACTCCAGGGCACATAACAACAACAACAACATACACATATATATATTTAGGCAAAACCAATATGTTTCAGCTCACTGTAAAAAGGTTATTTTTAAAATACCCAGTCAAGGTCTATGGGATTTTAACCTCTGTGTGAACTCAGCAGAGTTTGAAACATTTGGGAACTTAAAATTTGGGACTTTATAACAATTTGTAATGCCTTAGGATAATCATCAGCTCATACATACTTAAATATTTTCCCTTCATTTTCTCTTATTTATTCTCATTTCTTTCTCATTAGTTCTACTGCTTCTACCACCTGAGGTGTCAGTATCTTACTCTTCCCTCATATAAGCCACACAATTCCTTATCTGAAGATTAACTCCAATCACTAATTTTTCCTTCGTCTAAATTCTTAACTTTATTTTTATTTAACTCCAATAATACGGTAAATTTGTCTTTTCTCTCTCTCTCTCTTTATATATATGTATATATATATATATATATATATATATGGGAGCTCTGGTAGCATAGTGGCTAAGGCACTTGACTGCTAACCAGACGGCTGGCGGTTCAAACCCACCAGCCACTCCTCGGAAGGAAGGTTGGGCAATCCTACTTCCGTAGTGATACTGCCTCGGAAACCCAAGGAGGGGTCGCTATGAGTCGGGGCCGACTTGACGGCACATAACAACACCAACAATGGGGTTACTGGAGCTCTGGTAGCGTAGTGCCTAAGGCACTTGACTGCTAACCAGAAGGCTGGCAGTTCAAACCCACCAGCCACTCCTCGGAAGGAAGGTTGGGCAATCCTACTTCCGTAGTGATACTGCCTCGGAAACCCAAGGAGGGGTCGCTATGAGTCGGGTCTGACTCCAGGGCACATAACAACAACAACAAAAACAAATATATATATATATATATATATATATATATATACACACACACATATATTACATTTTCTTTCTTCCTTCAAATACTATCATTCCAATTACGAGCTGTGTAATTTCCCCCCAGTCCCTCATGGAGACATTTTATTAAGCATTAAACAAGACAAAGACAAAAATAAATAAATAAATAATCATCTAGATGAAAGAAACCATCAACATGTACCCAGTACAGAAGCTGATAGAATATGCTGAATCACAGCCATGGTGTTCATTACACATGACAGAGAACAGAAGGAAATCATCACATCTTGGTTAGTTTAGTCACCACTGTTGCAAGGAGGATTACAGAATCAGGAAAAGGACTATGATTGGAATATGTGCATAATTGTAGGTTAAAAATGGTTATAGGATTGGTTCTGGGGCTTTAATTACTTGGGTCAGTGGTGGTTGGGGTATGACTCATGAACATGAGAGCCTGAATCATAGTAACAAGATGGTTACAAGATTCTTCCCAGAACCCCAACCTATTAACTAAAATCAGATAATATACATAACAAGCAGAGAAACCTGTTGTGCCAGTTTCTCCTTCACACAGCAAAAGGGGGGAAGAGAAACTGAACTTGTTGTTGTTGTTGTTGTTGTTATGTGCACTGGAGTTGGACCCAATTTATAGCGACCCTTCTTTGGGTTTCCAAGGCACTATCACTACAGAACTAGATTGCCCAGTCTTCTGAGGTGGCTGGTGGGTTTGAACCACCAGCCTTCTGGTTAGCGGTCAAGTGCCTTAGGCACTATGCTACCAGAGATGTTTTTCTTATTTGGATCAAGCACTTTTGGCGGTCTCCAATATTTAGATCACAGTAAATCATTAAGTACATGTGCGGGCAAGTTCTCTAGTTCTTTGTGTGAGCACCTTTCTGCATACTAATTAATCCGCTTTCAACCACGCTCTTCTTGACGGGAAATTAACTTTCTCTGGGCTTGTCCAGATTTGTCTAAGTATAGCCACACTGTTGGTTTAATGGCCAGCAAGCATTGGGGAAGTAACATAAAGAACTCAAATGGTGTCTGAACTTATGTCTAGACTCAAAATGGAGTTTAGTCTCCCATTGTACACTACAACTTTCCACAAGTGCTTTAAAATTTAAACTCTCATATATTCTCTCCTCTTTATCATGGATTTTATTTAAAATCCTCTGATCACACTTAAGTTGGTGGGCTTTCTTCTGCATGGATGAGTCTATGACTACTTCAAATAGTTGTTTGTTTTAGCATAAATTTTAAGACTACCAGGCATTATCTTTTTTTATAACTGTTCACCATCTAATTTTTTCAAAATACTGCTGTATGACTTTGGAAATGACACTTCTTTGTGCTTCAACTTCCTCATCTTTAAAATGAACATATTTATACCCTACCCCAAAAAAATAAACCTAACTCACTACCATCTAGTCTATTTGGGCTCATAGCGACCCCCTCTGGATTTCCAAGGTGGTAAATCTTTACAGAGGTAGACTGCCCAATCTTCCTTCCGCGGAGTGGCTAGCGAGTTTGAACTGCCAAACTTCTGGTTAGTAGTCAAATGCCTTAGGCACTATGCCACCAGAGCTCCTAGCATAGTGCCTAAGGCATTTGACTGCTAACCAGAAGGCTGGTGGTTCAAACCCACCAGCCACTCCTCGGAAGGAAGGTGGAGCAATCTACTTCCGTAGTGATACTGCCTCGGAAACCCAAGGAGGGGTCGCTATGAGTCAGATCTGACTCGAAGGCACATAACAACATTTATACCCAGCATATAGGAATAAAATACTGATTAAGTGCTAAAATGTAAATTTCATACTTAGCTCAGTTCATGCCACATATTAATAATTCAATAACTGTCATTCATCATTATTTATTTCAATTATGAGATCCATAGAATGTTGGACTTGGCTTTTTTTTTTTTTTTTTTTAATCTGTTGTTGTTGTTGTTATGTGCCTTCAAGTCAGACCGAATTCATAGCGACCCCTCCTTGGGTTTCCGAGGCAGTATCACTACAGGAGTAAATTGCCCCATTTCCTTCCGAGGAGTGGCTGGTGGGTTTGAACCGCCAGCCTTCTGGTTAGCAGTCAAGTGCCTTAGGCGCTATGCTACCAGAGCTCCTTATGTGCCATCAAGTCATCTTCGACTCATAGTAACCCCTCCTTGGGTTTATGAGGTGGTATCACTATGGAAGTCGATCACCCAATCTTCCTTCTGAGGAGTGGCTGGTAGATTTGAACTGCCAACCTTCTGGTTAGCAGTCAAGTGCCTTAGGCACTACACTACCAGAGCCCTCTGTTTTAAATCTATACACTGTGAAAAGTAACAAATAGATAATAAATGTCTACTGTGGGATAGTAAATGTGATGTGACTACTAAGAAATCAACCCCAGGATCCTCCAATAGTTTGTTTTTCTGATCATCTTAGTTCTACATTATATTCTTGCTGTACTCATAAGATAGTAGGTTTAGTAGATTTAGTTGGCAAGGTCTACTTCTTTTAATGCTGATGTCATCCAAGTTGAAGAATTAGACAATGTGAGGAAAATGAGTGACAATGAGAAGCAGCCCAAATATCTTGATCACTAAATCCAAAACTGAGTTCATATCCACCTACCTCACACTTTTAATTTCTTTATTTTGTTTTATAGAACTTTTTATATTCAGAACCTAATCATTATATTTGATTTGTAATTGCCTGTCATTCAAGTTGTCAAACTGAACTAATTCTTTTTTAACATTCTCTTTCATATCTATCCGTTAAATATTTATCTATTCAAAACATTAAGCAGACACATAAAACTTATGTTCAATCTTGCATCATCTCTAACGTTTAAACTGATCTCCCTACTTCTAATTACTTTAACATTTTCAAAGCATCCTAGCCTGTTTAGAGAACAATTTTCCTAATTTGGTCATGTCCATGTACATGTCAGCTTAAAATGTATTAGTGACTCTCCATATCCTAATATGCTCTTGTTGTTCTTGTTGAGTCAATTCCAACTCATAATGACCATATGTACAACACTGCCTAGTCCTTTGCCGGCCTCACAACCATTGCTATGTTTGAGCCCGTTGTTGCAGCCATCTTGTTGAGGGTCTTCCTCTTTCGTTGACCTTCTACTTTACCAAGCATAATGTCCTTCTCCAGGTACTGGTCCCTCTTCATAACACATCCAAAGTATTTGAGATGAAATCTCACCATCTTCCTGTCTAAGGAGCTCCCTGGTTA